GGGGTGGCACCTGGAGGGGGCGGCGCGGTGCTCCGGCTCCGGCCGCCGGGGAGAGCGGAGCCCCGACTGGGACTCGCTGCCCTCCCCCCCGGGGCTCCGGCCGCCTTCCCCTGCCGCGCTGGGGGGGGGGCGGCCGGAGGCTTTTTTGCCTGGGGCGGCAAAAGAGCCAGAGCCGACCCTGGCTGGGACCACGCCTGGGGACGGGTCTGGGGACGGAAACAGAGCTTCAGCCAGGGGTTGAAGGCTGAGGCCGGGCCGGGAGCGGAATCACGGTTGGGGGCCAAGGCTGGAGCCGGGAGCGGAGCAGCAGCTGGGAGGCGGGGCCACGGCAGAGCTGGGGGTTGAGTGGGGCTAGGTGGTGCTCCCTCCCCGCCCTCCATGGGAGCTGGCCCGGGCCTCACCCCCGCAATGTTCCTCTGCACTCCCTAAGGCAGTTTGGGGACCACTGCTCTATATAGTAACATTTTAAACTGGCATTACGACAAGTTTAACTGGGGATAAAATCTGGAATGATATCCCAATGACCACTCTGTTCACTCAGGCAGCCCTGGAAGGTCTGGATTCATCTCAAGAGGCTTCCATGCTTATTCGTATACCCTAATTTAGCAACGCTAGATGTTGCTCAGTGCTGGTTAACAACAGAGCAGCCAATGTCATAGATAGATAGTACCTCTGCTGCATATACAGTTAGCTTCCCAAACAACGCGTGTTTAAGGACAGTGGATGAAATTTACTGTGGAAAAGCTTGTGAACTCCTGTGTCAGTAGATCATGAAATTTTGAATCCTGGCATCTATCTTAATCCTTTCAGGACGATGAGCAAAGGGATACCCATAACTTACAGGAAGGAAATTATGTACAGTTTCAGCTGATGGTGGGGGAAAGATAAATGACCTGAAACTAAGGAAAGAAAACTGAGACTAGATAATAGGAAAAGTATTCTTGACAATAATACCAACTGGGAAGTGGAATATACTCCCAGTGGGGGTGGTTGATATTCAAGGGTAGGTTGGTGAGACACCAGTGGGAATGATATGTAGCAATGTATACGTTGCTAGAATAGAGCATTGGTTTATATAGTCCAAGATCCTGTCATCAACAGTGGCCAACACCGTCTGCTTCAGAGGAAGTACATGAAACCCTACAGCAGGCAGTTATGGGGTAACCTGCCTCCAGCACAAACTTCTCCTGTGCTCCTAGAGTCAGCGGTTGGCTTACACCCTGAAGCACAAGGATCTGTATAGTGAATAGTACTGAAAAATGCAACGAGGTCAAATGAATGATCACTTCAAGCCCCCCTCTCTACTGCATGATGCTATATTGCCCTCTTGACGTACGTTAAGCGTCTTCTTCGGTCTTACCCAAGTCAACTTTTCAACATTTTAAAGCAGTTTGGCCTCTTCATTTCACACTATAGCTGTAGGAGTTAGCGCACGTCTTTTTAATCCAAATCGCCCGTAGACTGTGATTGATTTCTGACTTATGTTTTTCTCCTCTGACCTTTCCGAGTCAAGCAGTGATCATTCAACTCATGAAAGTCATTCTGAATGAGAGAGCTGTAACAAGCCGCAGACATTCTCTCACCACTCGATGGAGGCATGTTTTAATCATAATATGCTCAGAGTAAGCATTTCATAGCAAATGCACTGGTGTGTAGAAGCCATGCCTAGGAGTTATTATTGGAATCTCTTTTTGAAGGCTTCACTGGAATGGCTTTTGATAAGTGGCTTCAGACAGAAAAGCGTGCGTCAGAAACCTTTCTGAAATATTGATTTGTTGGCAATGCGAAGTTTCTGAGTTCCTTTATGTACTGAATGCATCTACAAACAATAGTAGAAACAGGAACATAGGCATCTCCATACTGGGACAGACCAGTAGTCCTTTCAGTCCAGTCCAGTCCATCAACATCAATATCTGCCACATGTCTTCAAAGGAATAAAATATCTCCCTAATGTACCTCGTTTAGACAGTATTATCCATTACGGAGGGTAGGTTCTGCTTGATCCCAGCCAGTGATGATCAATGTAGGCTATGAAGCGTGAGAATTGATAGTCCTTTTCAAAGATGCTGAGCACCTACAGTTCTCACTGACTTCCATAGAAGATGCAGCACTCGTGAAAATCAGGCAACTTGTCATTTTTAGCCTCCTTAGAATAAATGAAGATGCCCTTTTTTTCAGATGTTTTTGATATTTATCTTTTTTTTTTTTTGCCACAATGATCTCAGCAGTGAGTTCAACAGGCTAATTATATACTGTGTTCAACACCTTTTATTTTATGTGATTTAAAGGGACACTGTAAAAACTGTTTTATAATTCCTATGCTACTAATCCTGAAATTATTGACACCGATACAGTGTTAATCTCTGAATTAACGCTTCCCCATTTATGCTGCTTCTTTTTATTGATTGATTTTTGCATTTCACTGAGCTTGAACAGTAAAAATAGACTTTCTATTTTTGAAAGTCAGTTTCATTTTTGTTTACAGCTTGTTTCACTTCATACCCCAGATTCTAATTTACATTAAGGCCCCTCTCACAGTAAAATAGAAACCAGATTTATTGTAGTTTAAAAGCAAATGTTACGGAAGCATTTCTGTGCTGTTAGCCTTATCTTTTGTAACAGCTCATTTATACAACACCTAAAGGCTGAGCCAAATTTGACATAGCATGTCACGTTAACATATGGGATTTAACACTTTAAGACTCCTGTTCACTGACAGAATAATATAAAGGGCCTTAGGGTAAAGGAGAATCAGACCCTGGAACTTCCATTAAAAAAAAAATCTTAGGAGCCAATTCTGTGGTGAGCTGAGAGTTTTCAAAAAGCTTCAGTGGGTGTGGAGCATACTCAGGATGTCATGGTGAACACTCAGTACCAGGGCCAGCTCCAGGCACCAGCTGAGCAAGCAGGTGCTTGGGGCGGCCAAGGGGAAAGGGCGGCACGTCGGGCTCTTCGGCGGCAATTCGGCGGCGAGTCCCTCAGTCCTTCTCGGAGGGAAGGACCTGCCGCTGAAGTGCCGCCGAAGAAGAAAGCGGTGCGGTGGAGCTGCCGCCGAAGTGCCGCCGATCGCGATCACGGCTTTTTTTTTCCCCCGCCGCTTGGGGCGGCAAAAACCCTGGAGCCGGCCCTGCTCAGTACCTTGCAGCATTAGGCCACAAGCGCTCCCGTCATCCTCTTATCAACAAATCAAACCTACATCTTGATTAGAGCTGGTCAGAATTCCCTATCAAAATGACATTGAATGTAGAGAATGTTGTTTCTGGAAAATTGAATTTTCCATGGGAACATTTCAATTTTGCTGATTTTTTGTTTTGTTTTGTTTTTTTAATTTTCCATCAATCTGAATCAGAATATTTCAGTTTGTCGAACATTTTGAGTCAGTTCAACATTAAACTTCATTTCCGTATTGTGCTGCATTGCCTAATGGCAGTTGTACTTTGGAGCCCCATGCTCTCCTATGGGCAACATGGATTCCCCCTTCTGACCAAGCTGTGTGGTGCATCAAAGGACACACGTGATTGCAGGTGTATTATGGGAAATGTAGTCCAGATGCATCAGATGAAGTGGGTTATAGCCCACGAAAGCTTATGCCCAAATAAATTTGTTAGTCTCTAAGGTGCCACAAGGACTCCTCGTTGTTTTTGCTGATACAGACTAACATGGCTACGCCTCTGAAACCTGTAGTCCAGTCAGGGACCCTGGCCCCAATGGAACCTTCAGGCTCTCAATCTAAAATTCCCATGGGGCAACGTGGCATCATAAGGAAATGGAGTTTAATTTTGAACTTATTCTAAATGAAACATTTTGGGTCAGTTCAACAAACCACAATAAAACATTTCAGTATGGGCACGTTGACAAATTTCATTGTGAAATGCTTATCCATTTCTGAATCAAAATTTTTCAGAACACTTTGATCCATGAAAAATTTCAATAATCCTAATTCAGGACAAAAAAAATATTGAATGATTAGATTTTTCTTTGAGTTTGAAATTCCTGGCTAGGTTTTCTGTGCCTGTCACTGTGCTGATATATCAGCATCATACACATTTAAGCCAGCGCAGTTCAAAAGACTAGCTTCCCAAAAAGTGGTAAAAACACAATTGTCCCCCACGTTCAAGTTCACAATGGATTATTGTCACATCAAAAATATAAAGTCTGTATTGAAAAGACTTTACAGTACTCAGATGATTTCAGTACATGACGGGGGCAGAGTTTTGCCCTCTGCACAGCAGGTAGGCAAGGAAAAGGGGAAAGCGGATGTCAGTGATTATTAAAGTGACAAAGAGACATAATCTCAGCTGGAATAAATCTGCCTAGCTCCATTGACTATCCATTGCTCTATTGACAATCAGCTCCATTTATCCCAGATAAACATCTGGTCGCTTGGTTGGGGTTTTTAAGAAGCGCTGGTCAGAATTTTTTTTTTCCATTGCAGAAAATTTTGACTTTTTATCACAGATTTAAAACCAAAGTGTTTTGGCCAAAAACTTTTCAGTGTTTAGCAGAAAATTAGAGCATTGGTAGGTTTTCCAACAAAAGACTGAAATTTTTTGAGCAAAAGGCAATTTTTTGCTTAGTCAAAAACCCATTTTTCCATCCGAAAAGAATTTTTGAAAATGTTCAGCCAGTCCTGAAACCAGCAATAGGGGCAGTTCTATCACCTTGTAGGAGGGGTAGGTTAGCACTTAAGCACCGCAGAGAACTCTTGTTTTGAAGTCCTAAGTGAGACTTAAGTAGTGGAATTAGCCTTTTGCTGACAGAAAGAACAGGAGTACTTGTGGCACCTTAGAGACTAACAAATTTATTAGAGCATAAGCTTTTGTGGACTACAGCCCACTTCTTCGGATGACGTTTGCTGAATTATGCCAGGAGGCCTTTAGTATGTGGAGATACCGTAATCTACACCTGCATCTTTGTATATATATTCAGATGTGTTTGCTGCTTTAAATGAAGCAGATGGACTTGCAAAGCAGAGCATACTGAATCCGGTTATTTAACATGCAGTAAAAGATGCTGCAAGAGCAAGAATCAGAATAAAAAGCTAATTGTGTGAGATGAAGACTGAATTGAATTGGTGGCAGCTGTAGGAAATGCTGCCATCTCTAGCGAATAGGCTGATATTGCACAAGAGGAAACATTCTTTAGCCCTGAAGAACAAAATTAAACCCTCCGTCATTTTGTCTTTAGCAGCTAAGCTTTGATTGTCCCCAAAAGCTTCCATTGCAAGTAGTATCTTCTGTACTTCCTAGAACCACAAATTGACAGAGGTAGAATCCTGCCCAAGCCATTCATCACCTAAGTAGTCCCACTGAAGTCAATGCGTCTAAGGATGGACAGGGTCAGACCCAAGGCAGGACTATACCTACTGATATAGGTGGGCTTGGAGGGTCCGGTTCCTTTGCTGGTGTAAATCGGCCTATTTCCATTGACCTCAGTGGAGTTATGCAAATTTACACTATCTGGGAATTTGGCCCTAGAACACATTTGCTAGGATAACAAAGGAAACCAACAGCAGGTGTACGTGGTATGCATGCCTATCACATGAACGGGTCAAATATTTGTGACCGTTAAAGCCCTGGGAAGATATTTCTTCCTCTTCAGTAACTGGTCTGACATTATATCTATTTGTATGTATGCAGTGCTTAAAAAATAAACATACCCCAGGGAAAGTGCTGTGGAGTGTTTCCAGCTGGTCACAGGATTAGTTAGACCACACCTTCACAAGATTCATTTAAATGCTGCCCTGTTTCATACTTCCTGTTTATAAAGGCAAAATCACTACGGCCAGCAACTATTCATTTTCACAGGAGTTGCATGTAAAGCGGGAGCATGTTGATTTAACTCCATGCATGCCACACACCCTGAGAAGGTAGACAATGAGCCAAGTGATACAACGCGCTTTGGTAGAATGTACATTCTGTTTCTAAAAGCACTGAGAGTTTGATCATGTAACGCATCTCCCACTGAAATCAGTCAACCCCTTAGAGTGCTCAGCACCCACGAAGGGTGACATCATTTTATGATGGTTTCCCATTGCACACTGCCTTATGTGGGTTTGTTTTTTCAATTACCAGTTCCTCAAGGCAGAGCATGCCTTTAATGTTGTGTATTGCACAGCCCGGAGCAACACAATTCCCTGTGCCATGATAATAACACATAGCACACTCAGTGGGCGCCATTAAAAATGGGTGCTTATTACAGCATGGTGGTATTTATAGTCTTCTCTATACTTAGAATGGGAAAGGCCATTGTAAGATTGACTCCAACAGGTGGGGAATGTCCAGCTTTGAAAGGTGCCCACTGTCTATAGCGTTTTTCATGTTCACGGGACACTGCAAACATCGGGCTATCCTCTGACCCAGAATATATGCCCAAGAATGGGAGGAAGAATCCCCCTTACGATCCTAGCCAGGTCCAGGAACATGGGAGTTAGCAGGACTATTTGCTAGCTGATAAGAGGGAGGGGTAGCTCAGTGGTTTGAGTATTGGCTTGCTAAACCCCAGGATATGAGTTCAATCCTTAAGGGGGCCAATTAGGGTTCTGGGGCAAAATCAGTACTTGGTCCTGCTAGTGAAGGCAGGGGGCTGGACTTAATGACTTTCAGGGTCCCTTCCAGTTCTATGAAATAGGTATATCTCCATATGTTTGTTTATTTACTCCCACCCTGGAGCCTGGCAACAGGGAGAGGAGGGGAACTGGCTGGCCAGAGAAGCTGAGCTGGCAGGGTTGGAAGAATAATTTACTGCTGATACAGGCCAGCAGCAAATCACTACCCTTCAGGATCAAGAAAGAAGCAAGGGAGAAATTGTGACTCCCAGGGTATCTCTGAGGCACAGTGCTTCCTGGCATGATGCAGTTTATGCACCAACACTCGTTTAAGACTTTGCCTGAATTCATCATCTAAGTTATTGTTTTATTGATGTTTACAACAGGATTTTGGGTCAGTAATGAATATCCAAGTTCTGCATATGCACAGGCTACAGTCCTGCTCACCTCCTGAAAGGTACTCGGCACCCTCAATTCTTGAGGACCACAGTGGGGGTTGATGTCACTGGCTGTCCCGTGGAGCCTGGCAGAATCAGACATTGAGGTCAAAGCATTTTCCTAAGACTCCAGAGGAAGTTTGTATCAGAGCCAGGGCAAGGGCAAGAACCCAGCCTGGCATAATTCTCCGTGGCGTTCTGACACCACTAGACCAGGGCATCCGCTCAGATTCGTGCAGGCTCAAGTGACAGGGCTGTCCCTAATGTAATTGCACTAGCAAAACCATATGCAATGGCCAGACGCAAAGAACTGAAATGGAAGCTTAGGAATCCAGCCCTGCTATTGATGCCCTGCGGACAGACCCTTGCATCCGTGCAGGACCCCATTTATATACTGGGGCACCGTACTAGCCCCAGGGTCTTCCAATTGCAGTATTAGGACACTTGTCTGTATCCAGTTTGGAAGTAGGAACTGTGTCTTTCTAAAGCTTCTGTGGACTGTTGGCACATTTGGGACATACTACAAGAATTATTATTCGCTTAAACCTTCGCAATAATTGTTTAAGTACTGCCCCATCAATAGAACGATTCACTTGTTTAAGTGCTTTGCTGGATCAGGGCCAACGTGCTCAGCACATTGCAGGATCAAGCCCTCTATTGGACTATTCCCATACATAAAGTTGCTCACATGGGCAAGTGTCTCTCTGACTGGGGCCCATGGCAGGCAGTGTGGCCTAGTGAGCAATGCACTGGACTGAGACTCAAAAGCCCTGGGCTCTAGTCGCAGCTCTGTCACTCTGCTGGCTGGCCTTGGGCAAGTCACTTCGCTGCTCCTTGCCTCAGTTTCCCCATTTCTGAAAGGGAGATAATGAAACTGATCTCCTTTGTAATGCACTTTGAGATCTGCTGATGAAAAATGTTATGTGTGAGTTAGGGATTGTTTATTATTATGTTTTTTAACAGCGATTATACAAATCTGGGCAGTGGGAGCTAGGTAGGGGGTCAACGAAAAAAACGTGGAAAGGAAATACCGGTGAAATAAGTTGCTTGCTTCAGAAATCCAACTTTGTATTGTACCCTTCTTTCCTTCCCCTTTCTCCTCCCCCTCCTTCTTCATGGTATTTTTCCTTTCAGTGCCTAATTCTAGTCTTTTATTGTGTTTCTAGGAAAACCTCTTTTTTGTAATGGAATATCTAAATGGAGGAGACTTAATGTTTCATATCCAAAGCTGTCACAAGTTTGACACCGCCAGAGCAACGTAAGATGGTTTAATTGCCTTTTACTTTATAGGTCACATACTTAGTGTAATAGGGAGGTAGCGTGACCTAATGGATAAAGCCTGGGGACTCAGGAGACGGGTTTTGTTTCTGGCTCTGCCAATGGCCTGCTGTGTTAGCTTGGGCAAGCCAGTTCTCTTCTCTGTGCCTCTGTTTCCTCATCTGTAAAATAGGAGTAATGATACTGAATCTCCTTTGTAAAGCTTTTGGACCTACAGGTGAAAATTATTATATTAGGGCTTGGTATGATTACTGTCATCTGGCCTCAGCCACTGACTTTGGGCATGTCATTTCCTCTCCCTGTGCCTCTGTTTCCCCTCCCACCATTTCTCTGTCTTGTCAATGTAGCTTGTAAACTCTTCAGGACAGAGACTTTCTCTTATACTGCGTATGTACAGCACCTAGCACCATGCAGCCCCAATCGCAGTTGAGGGGCCTAGGTACAACCATAACAAAAGCACAAAGTGTACTTTCCATTTCAAGATCTTCCAGTCATGCGTAGCCTTTCATTCAGCTGATTTTTCCAGTCATGGACCAGCGGGCCCAGTCTGGCGGCTGAAGTAGGTACCTGGGCCTTTTCATACAAAGTCTGAATCATTCAATAAAGAACTAAGATGGTAGGGTTACATTGATCCACATCTCCAGGTAATCTACAGAGAAGAAGACTGTAAGACCATAGCAGAGCTTTTGACAATACACCAGGGCCCTGATTCTGTGCCTTGTTTTGGCCCCTCTGTTTGGCTCCAGCCACAAAAGGGCACAGAACAGCTGCTGGGGATTTATCCAGAAAGGAGGGGTTCCCTTGGCTCTGCAGGGGTGGCATAAGCCACCTTCCTTCCCTGTCTCTGGCAAGACACATCTTGGGACAGGACGAGAATTGGGGGAGGACAGTGCCATTGCTGGAACACTCTGGGCCGTGCAGCAGCCCGTAGGTGGCTGTTGAAAATTAGAGCAGCCCCTGGGCTGCCCTAAATTGCACTGGGAGCTGGGTAGGCCCCGGTTAGACTACAATTTTGAGAGCACAAAGGTGGCTTAAAGCTCTTCCGCCCCCCTGCGATTGTGCCGCACTTTGAATTTCAGATCTGGGCCCTGGTTCCGATCTCACTGCCACTGGTGGAAATCAGGAGTAAAACCCCTGAAGTTAGTGGAGTTACAGCAGTGTAAAACTGGAGTAAACGAGAGGCTAATCGGGCCTCTGAGGCTCAGTGTCAAATGTCTGGGGACATCTTCTGGCCCTGTACGCATGTGGGCAGTTCACACTGAGCCATGTGCAGCCCTGACGTAAATGAACAAACTCCCACTGTAGGGGAAATAAACCAGCCAGGATTTCCCAGTTTGATTGCTGAAAGTCTTTGCCGGCAGGAGAAGACTCTCTCCAAACTCTTAGGGTGTGTCTACACTACAGTTGGGGGGTGTCATTTCCGACTCAGGTAGACATACATGCCCTAGCCTAAAAACTGGATGGGGATGGGGATGTACTCTGGGCAGCTAGACTCTCCCACCTCCTGAACAGCTGCAGCTACTCTACTACTTTTACACTGTTGCTCAATCAAATGTAGCATGTGTACATCTACCTGAGCTGGGAGTTACACCTCTAGTTGCAGTGTAGATGTACCCTTAGAACAAGCCATTGAGCAAAAGGACTACAAAAGAATCCCATAATCTTCAGCCATTCCCAGAAGTTGAAGCTCTTTAGCTTTAGGATGACTGTGTAAGCCACATGCCCCTTTATGCAGAGATCCTGAGACCACCTACTTTGGACAGAAATAGTGTTTTACGAAAGAAAAGGGAGTCTCTTGTTTTCGTCACCAAAGCAGCAAAAAAGCGGGACGGGGACATGAATCCTGTCAAATCGAATGGCAAAAAGGTAAATTTATATAAAAAGTAAATACGCCAAGGGAGAATTAAAAATGTATTTAGCCACGATTGAAATAGAGGAATTGAAATAAATAAAAGCTTTTTCTAAGTCCTTATGCCAGCAAAAGATATTGTAAAAGTCAATATTGAAACACCTTAGAAATTAATTTCTATTTAAATAACAGAGCCTAATTTAAATAAAAGTTTGATTTGTTGGGTTTTTTAAAAAAAAAAACCTGAATGTTGAGGACTGTGCCCCCAGCCTAGGACATTCAAGGTCTGATGAGAGGATGCAGTCGAATCCAGTGGAAATATGGTCCTAGGGTTACATTCACCTCTGGGCAGAAGGTTCCTATTTTGAGGGCTGAAGTGAAACTTAAGTGAGGTATTGGTCCTACACTGGGCTTGCGTATTGGGGTGAAGTTTCACCCCAATGCAGAAATGTGCTGTGAACAAGGGTCTCTAAAGAACCTTGGTAAAAAATGACTCTACAAAGGACACAAGTAGCCAGATCTGTAGCTGGTGTAAACCGATGTGGAGTACAATTTCCAACAGCACCTAAGTGATTTAGGAGCCTACGTCCCATTTTCAAAAGTGACTTAGGCATGTAGGGGCAGATTTTCAAAGATGCCCTAAAGATGCACACGAGGCGCCTAAGAGGATTTTAAAAAGTGCTTAAGCAGGTAAGGGGCCAACTCATTGATTTCCCAAATGATTTAAATGGCAATTAGATCCAAACCCTTTCGAATATCCCACTTGGAGCCTATCAGCATTTTTAGGTGTCTAAATAATCTGTCCCTTAAAAGCCAGAATCAAAAGTCAATGGAACTTGGGCTCTTAAGTGCCTAAGTCATGTTTGAAAAAGGGAGTTGGGGTCCTAAAATCACTCGGCTGCTTTTGAAGACGTTGCTTGTACTCCTTCGACTGCCCTGGAGTGATGCCAATTTACAGCAGCTGCGGATCTGGCCCCAAATGGAGAATTATTGTGGGGAGACATCAGTTCTGATGCATGGTCTTTTTTTTTCCAGGTTCTATGCTGCTGAAATCATTTGTGGTCTGCAATTTCTTCATTCTAAGGGAATAATATACAGGTAGTTTTACACTTTGGAATTTAATATACGGCACAGTTAGACTTTTTCTTCAACATATTGATTTTACCTGCTAGTTTGTACTTTGTTCTTCTTACTAATATTGAATTTACAACCCGCTCTGTTTTTCATCCCATTCGCCTATTTTATTTTGGGAAAGAGAGCTCGGAAAAGAGTCAGTCTTATGCACCCTTTTGGGGATCCCATCCTACTTCCATTGAGGTCAATGCCCACTGTGTATTCCAAAGCCAGTTTGAGATGTTATTGACATTTACAAAGTGCCTTGCACTGGAAGATCCCAAAGACATGATTGCAAAACATGGGCCCAGTCCCTCCATTACATGTCCATTCAGAACTCCCACTGACTAGGTGGTTCTCTCTCAGTAGTCAGGACACCCAACTGGGATGTGGAAGACCTAGTTTGAAACCCCTGCTCCTCCTGACAGGAACTAATGACTTGAACTTGGGTCTCTTACAACCCTAGTGAGTGCTCTGATCACCAGGGTATTCACTAGCTAATTGGCAGTCAACTGAGATCTTTCTGTTTCGTTTTGTTTTCACACAAAAAACCCTGCCAGACATCATGGGCTTGTTCCACATTGGAACCTCAAAATGTTTCGCAAAATGGAATTCTTCTTTTCCATCAGTTCTATTCAGGGGATATGTACGAATTTTGAAGGTGTCGTTGTGTGTTTTCTGAATTATTTTTCAAAAGTAGTCTAATGAATAAGTTATTTATTCATTTTTTAATCTGAATTTATGTCATTATTATTAAGAATGTCTGGGTCCCTCTTAATTTCCAAGATCTGACACATTTTAAGGAAATATTGGGATGCAAACACCAAGGACACAAAACTGGATTTACAATGGACAAACTATGGGCCTCAAACCATGGGCCTAATTCTCAACTACACAAAGGCTACTGCACACCACTCTAGCAGTGTAAAAGGGCCTTTAAATGCCACTTCACATTCTGAGAGCAGTGCAAAGTGCCTCAGGCCCCGCCTGTTTACCGACAGATGTAATGGGTCTGATTCTCTTTTACATTAAGAACCGGAGTACTTGTGGCACCTTAGAGACCTAAGGTGCCACAAGTACTCCTGTTCTTTTTGAGGATACAGACTAACACGGCTGCTACCCTGAAACCTGTCATTTTACATTAAGGTCACTTTACAGTGACTTTATATTTATATCCTTTTAAAAGTCCCTTTACATGACTCAGGCCTTGTCTACACTGCCACTTACAGCACTGAAACTTTCTTCACTCAGGGGTGTGAAAAAATACCCCCCTGAGTGATGCATGTTTCAGCGCTGTAAAGTGGCAGTGTAGATAGTGCACCAGTGCTGGGAGCTACTCCCCTTGTGGAGGTGGTTCTCCCAGCGCTGGAGCCGTGACTACACAGCCACGGCAGCACTTTAACCTTGGTTCTGTAGACATACCCTAGAAAAGCGTAAAGTAGCCTCAGGCTAAATGAGGATCAGACCCAACACCAGGGTTTCTTTAATGTAAACTAACCTTGCCAGCAATCAGTAAATATTTGAGCTGGTTGGAAAACAAATTTTCTGTCCTGTGAAAAATTGTGAGCTTTTGTGGGGGAAATTGTTCAAAATTGGGACGGGACCAAAAGCCAAACTTTTACATTTTTCATTGTTTCATTTTGTTTCAATGAATTTGAATCACTTTGTTTTGATTTTGACCCTTTGCATTTATTTATTTTTATAAAGTCACGTTTCAAAATGAAAAACCAAAGCTTTTCCTTCAGACACTATCAAGAGGAGAGGATTCAACATTTTCTAAATGTTTTCCCCCATTTTTTCTAAACAAAATTGAATCAGACTTGATCTAATTTAACACACACAAAAAGTCGGTTTTGTGTAAACAGTGTTTTCTGATGGAGAAGAGTTATGATGAAAGTTTTTTTGCCCAGCTCTAGTAAATATCCAGGGCCTGATTCCCTACTCCTTTGCACCTTGTGTAGCCAAATACCCCTCTGCCAAATGGATGTCAAATCCTATCAGTCTGATTTGCCTTCTCTTAGCACAGTTGTAAATGACTAGACAAGGTATGGGGAATCAGGCTGCCAGTTTTGTGTGTATATAACAAACAGGGATTACATTTAATTCCTAAATAAAAGGGCATGGGAATAATGGGGAGTGGAAAGGGCTATTAAAATCAGTCTTGTGGCTCATGTTCCCTATGACGACAATAGCTGGCCTTTGGAGTAATAACTGAATGTGTGGGAACTAGACTGAACTAGTTCGTTACAGGCCAATTGACCTTCCAGTGCTCTGGTAAAAATTAGTTGTTAAATTATCACCTTATAAAATGAGGACGCAAGCGGATCATTGAAAGAAAATCAGAAAATTCTCAGAAGCAACAATGTTTACTGAAACCAAAATCAGTTTATTTCAAGGTTAGTCATGAAGTGTAAACATGGTAACAGAAATTACAATTGAATGACTTGTTTACAAACAACTTGCCCATTAAAACAAAAGATTTGACTCACATAATTCTTCTTATTCGTTATTAGTATTCATGTGGGAGCAGTTTATATAATCTCTATTGACCAATGACGGTGATTACGTCAATACGAGAGCAATATCACTGGCATTAAGCTAAGAAGATGCTATCCGGTATCTGAATGTGTCTTTATTTTTATTCCAGCCCTTTGGTGCTTTTGAGAATTTTACTGAAAGTTCTTAGTAGAGCTGGATGAAAAACATGGGGGAGGAGGATGTGAGTTTGCAGAATATCAATTTTGGCGGAAATTTCAATACCAAAAAATGTTGGCCAAAAAGCAAAATATGTTTGCTGAAATACAAAATATTTTGATTTGGAAATGCTGCCCTGATGTCTCATGTGAGTTGTAGTTCAGGTAGCACATGCTGCCCTTCTCCTCTACAGGCATTTTCCCGGATCTGACTACATCTCCCCTCTGAATTTTAACAAACAGCCTGGGTTTTAATTGGCTGAAGCATGTTCAACGTTTGTCCCTTGAGCCAATAAAACTGTGGCTGATCAATGATGGAGTGGGGGCAAGTGATACTGTTCTTTGTTTCCATCTGTCAGACAAAACGACGTCACAGAATGGGATTAATCTCTTTTGTGTAACAGAAATAAAGTCAGTGACGTTGGGAATGATGACAACATGAATATCTGCCGCTTGGAGAGTGAACGCAACTGTTGCCTCTATATTTCTTGTTGGTCAATGTCTCGCCTTTTATCCTGGCAGCGGGAGACTATTATCCTGTGACAATGTTTTCTTCTCTTGATATTATGGTCCCTATTTTTAAACATAGGTGCTTTGTCTGGGATTTTCAATGGCGCCTCAACTGAATGGGATTTGAATGCCTAACTCCCTTTTCTTTCCTTCGATAAATCCCAGTCTTTAATAGGAGTCCAAGGAGGCTCATGTTTGACTACTCAGAGAGAGTGCTCTAAATTTTCAGAAGCAACTAAGGCCATTTCTACACTAACACTTATGTCGGCAAAATTGATGTCACTCAGGGGTGTGGAAAAAACACATCCCGGAGTGACATCAACGTTGCCGGCATACGTGGTAGTGTGCACAAGTGCTATGTTGGCAGGAGAGCTTCTCCCACCGATATAGTACAACCACTTGTTGGGGGTGGTTTAATTATGTTGATGGGAGAGCTCTCTCCCGTCGGCATCGAGCAGCTACACGAGAGACCTTACAGTAGCACAGCTGAATCGGTACAGGTGTGCCACTGTAAGGTCTCTAGTGTAGACATAGCCTAAGTAACTTTGGTTGCCTTTATTTTTGGGCTGCTCAATTTGAAACATGTTCTGATTTTCAGAAGCTCTGAAGGTAGCCACCCATTGGAAGTCAGGCCCCTTTCAAGGTGCCTCAGATGGGGTGCCCAAAATTACAAGTCACTTCTATATGCAGTGTTGTTGTAGCTGTGCCGGTCCCATGATATTACAGAGACAAGGTGGGTGAGGTAACATCTTTTATTGGACCAACTTCTGTTGGTGGGAGAGACAAACTTTCATGCTTCTCCAGAGCTCTTCTTCAGGTCTGGGAAATGTACTCGGAGTGTCACAGCTAGTCAGGTGGAATAGATTGCATAAGTAAGCACATATTTCGAGGGACCATTCAAGGTAAAGTGGCTAAATCACATGCTTAAGGGCCTGCTGGCGCATGTGAGTGCAGAAGAATGTGCTCTTTAGAAAACCACGTGAAAATTGGTCCCTGTGACTGAATCACTATTTTATCAGCCGTAACTTGAAGTTTAGGTCAGCTCTGGAGACGAACCCAGAAGAAGCCATCGCCCCATTTCTCCTTTCAGGGGTCGTTCCTGTGTGGGCACCTCTTTGTTCTGTGTTGATGTGTGTGATTCCTTGGCTGGCTGGCTTTTTATTTCCCCCATACACATTTTTCTCTCCAAGCTCTCGGCTTCCCGCAGCAGCCTGCAGAATCTGCAGCCTCAGAGGAGAGCTTTGCAGTAGTGTGTGAAGGACTTATGTAAATACTTCAGCTTCAGCTAGTGCGGCCCGGGGAGGGAAAAGATGATGGATGTTCTACTTATGTTCTGGGGAGCTCCCAGCCATTGCGAAGCCAGCTTGGCTGCAGCTTCCCTGCAATTGTTTTTTGGGCTAGCTAGATCAAAGCCAGCTCTGGTATAGGTCCATGTGCGGCAGCACACATGCCTCTCTAACTGCAGTGTAGACGTACCCGTTGAGGCTAGCACCGGAATTCGATTTTGGGGACAGGACTTGTGGCCTTTGTCTCAGTCTCCATGTATTCCTAATGTCCCTCCCTGTCCCCAGGAGCAGAGCTGCTTATATCGCTATTTAACATGGATGTTGCAGGGCTGCCAAATGAGAAAGAAGGTGTAAAAAAAAAAAACCTCCTCCTTGTACCCTGGCTCCGCGGCCAGGTAAAAACTACAGCCCATGTGCTTCCCTGAGTGCAAGGTGTGCATCTTCCTTGTGTGCCCTGGGGGTCAACGCAGCCCAAAGGGGGCGGGGTGAGGCTGTGTTCTTGCCCCTCCTACATAGGCAATTTCATTCTTGGAGCCTCTGAGCAGGCAGGACAGCTCTATGCTGCTCCCTGTTAATCTTCACAACCCCTTTCCAAGGCATGGTAGGTACAGTAACTATTTATAAGCCCGTATGACAGGTGAGGAAATGGGAGTAGAGTAGACAGGGTGAACTCACTGAGTTGGCTGTAGAGATTGCTGGGGTCAGGATGGAGACCTTGACCTCCCTCTTGTGTTCTCAAATCACCAAATCTTGCCACTGGCCCATTGCAAGAACATATGTTATGTACTATTATAGATGCGCTTACGCCGCTGAATAACATTTCCATAGGAGATGTTTACTTTGCTCTTCTCTTGCAGAGATTTGAAGCTGGATAACGTTCTGTTAGACAAGGACGGGCATATCAAAATCGCTGACTTTGGGATGTGTAAGGAGAACATGTTTGAAGATGCAAAGACAAGCACTTTCTGTGGAACCCCTGATTACATTGCTCCTGAGGTAGGTATGACCTGAACTTAGGTCAAATCTGTTCTCAGTCCGACCTGCACGAAGCCCACCAATGTCAATGAAGTTGCGCGGTTGTTACTGAAAGCATAATGTAACCCAGGGGTTGCATCACTTTCTTTGAGGAAACAGACAATGTTTAATCACTTGCAGGGCTGCAGGAAAAGTATAAAAAAAGGGGTGGCCAACCTGAGCCTGAGAAGGAGCCAGAATTTACCAATGTACATTGCCAAAGAGACACAGTAATACATCAGAAGCCCCCCATCAGCTCCCCCCACCCTGCTTCCAGCGCCTCCCACTCACCGGCAGCCCTGCCAGTCAGTGCCTCTCCCTCCCTCCCCGCACCTCCTGATCAGCTGTTTTGTGGCATGCAGGAGGCTGGGGGGAGGAGCGAGGGCACGGCAGGGCTCAGGGGAGGGCACGGGAAGGATTGGAGTGGCGGCAGGGCCTGTGGCAGAGCCAGGGGTTGAGCAGTGAGCACCCCCCGGCACATTGGAAAGTTGGCGCCTGTAGCTCCAGCCCCGGAGTCGGTACCTATACAATAGGATGACCAGACAGCAAATGTGAAAAATTGGGACAGGGGATGGGGGGTAATAGGAGCCTATATAAGAAAAAGACCCAAAAATCAGGACTGTCCCTATAAAATCGGGACATCCGGTCATCTACTATACAAGGAGCCTCATATTAACTCCTGAAGAGCCGCATGTGGCTCCGGAGTCACAGGTTGGTCACCCCTGGTATATAAGGTTCTTGCAAATGGTTCCCCTAGTTAGAAACTGGATTTCAGTTTGGCTTGTTGGTCCCTTTATTGCTCTCTGTGAACATAGGCGCTGACTCCATGGGTGGCTGAATCAAGAAATGAGATTTGATCTGTGATTAAATGAAATTCATTGCAGGCAGTAGCTGTTTATAAAGGCAGGTCATCCAATCAGGCGACAGAAATGCCATGCGATTAAAGTGACCCGTCGCGAAACTCAATAGAAAATCCTGAATAGTTGATTGAATACTCCCTAATTTCAATGGGATTTAAGCCCCTGCTTAAAGTTAAGCATGGATTGAAAGGGCTTTCCAAAATAGGGATGGACTAACACATGCTTTAGTGCTTCCTGAATCAGGGTCTTTGCTGAGTAGTAGTGTTAACGTGACTGGGCCCTAAATAAGGCACAGTACAAGCTTATGAATCACAACTGTTTTTTCATATAAATATATAGGGACTCTCTCTTATACCAGGGTCAATCTGAAGTCAGTGTGCCCAGTTCTCCCTTATAGTCCCAAGGGGGCAGAAACAGCCCCTGGGAAATACCCCAGTATAAGTAGCCACCTTGTCCTATGTATGGTGCACGACATGGGCAGTGAGGGGATATCAGGGGAGTGGTCACTGTGCTTTCACTGTTTTCAGTTGCCTTTGGTTCCTAGATGGGACTGGGGAAAACTTAACATTATTTACCCCGAGGCTGCTCTAAAGTGTATTGGGCTGGGATAAAGGGAGACACAAAGGTGGCTTAAGGTTCCCTCTGTTCCTGCACTCCTCCTTGTCCTCTTCTCCTTCACCAGGATGCATCAGCTAATGAGCTGTCTATAGAGACCAGAATCCGGTCTTAGTGTGCCCTGACTGATATAGCCTGGTACAGGAGTGCCAGAAGCTCTCTAGAAGTGTGTGGGGGGGCCCCACCGGTGCCCAAACCATGGCCCTGCCCCCTGCTCCACCTCTTCCCCTGAGGTCACACCCCACTCTGCCTCTTCCCCCTGAGGCCATGTTCCACCCCTTCCTCTGAGGCCCCACCCTCACTCCGCCCCTTCCCCTGAGGCCCTGTCCTTATTCCATCTCTTCTCCCAAGGCCCTGCCCCCACAATGCCTCTTCCTCCTGCCCTCACCCTGTTCCGGCACGCCTGACCTTGTGGTTGATCTGAGTGCGTGCAGATTCCAGCTGAAAGCAGACACAGATCTTACTGGGGAGAGACTTTGACTAATTTAGCAGCAAGCCAAATGTTTCTCAGGAAGGAAGAGAACCCAAGAGCCCTCAATGCATCATGCCTGGCATCGCTCTGAAATCCATTTCTTTGCCTTTCAAGATCCCGTTCCCCGAGTTTAGTGTTTTCGTGATGGATATCGGTGCTTGCCAGATGGCTTTTAAAGGCTTTGTTTTCCCCCACGCTGTATTTCGTCAGTCTTTTACTGCACTCCGGGGACCTGATTCTGATCTCAGCAGTAGCCGTGCAATTCAGGAGCCGCTCTGTTGAAGTCATTGGAACAACGCCGGCGGGCATGAGATCACAATCAAGTCCCCAGTGGCTTTTATTCAGCTTCAGCATTCTTTTAAAGACATCTTTTTCTGATCCTAAACCAGAGCCACGGTCTCCAAGAGATAATCCATTATCTGCGATTTCACTTAATGCAAGCTGGAGAGGCCAGGCGCTTTAATCTCGGCACCATCATTTACTTTAGAACTTCAGCCAGTGCATAGAAAAACCTTTTCCTTACAAACTGAAAGATCTGGTGGAGTTGATTAATCATCTTTCAAGCCAAGTAACAGACTTTTTCCAGCATTTCAGCACAGCTGCCTATTCCAGTTATTTGTATTGCGGTAGTGCCTGGAGTTTCTAACTGAGACTGGGGCCACATTGTTCTATGTGCTGTACTTACCTGGTCCTAAAGAGCTTACAAGCTAAGTAGAAAAGACAGATGGAGGGTGGGAAGGGAAACAGACACAAAGGTAAAGTGACATGCCCAAGGTCACATAGCAGGTCAGTAGCAGAGCGAGGAATAGAGCCCAGGTATCCTGACTCCCACACCAGTGCCCTGTTCCCCGGACCACATTGCTTCAGCCATCAGTGGCTCTGTCTGCACTTATAAGAATAATTGTCTTCTGTGGTGTTAATCATCTCCACCGTTAGCTGTTTATAGCTACAGCAACTCTAGCATACCGGGTCAGATTGTAATCAGCCCCTGTGCTGAAGAGCATAGGGGAGAAGCCGCAATGAACTTCCCCTCCATTTCTTGAGCCCCTTAATATGGGCAAGTTACAGTGGGCAGTAGCTGTCTGAAAAGGGGTGGAAAGGGGAGAGGTGAGGGCTGGACTAGGGCCCTAGAGGGAACTTCCTGAAAGGTGATGTCATTTCCTCAGAGCCCCCAGGAAGAATTCTGGCTGACTCTCCCAGAGTTCCTTGCAGGGGGCAGCTCCGGGATGGCCACTGCAGACTGAATGTAGCTCATGCTATATAGATACAATTGCATTTGAGGCTCAACCCAGCAATCTGACTCTGGTAAAATGCCCATTGATTTATCATGTCTCCATCCCACTTCTGGCATTGGAATGCTGTCATGTTGCCCTATCTCACTGGCCTCAATGGGAGATTTACCTTCGTAAAGTCTACAGGATAGAGCCCTTACAATTCAAACAATGAATGCTGGCAAGCCCACACCTGTGTCTTTTGCCACCTGCCAAATTGCTCACACTCAAGGGCATTCTACCTTGGCCTTGCTCACTCACAACTGGGCTTGGGGTTATATTCTTCTTGCTCTGGCTCGTCTCGAGAAAAGGGTCATTTCTGGGCTCCATGCAATCACCCAGATTCTGGCTACAGGGGAGTTACTCCAGATGTAAATGAGAGCAGATCTGGACCAATCATATCACAGTAGGTTTGCCGGGCCAAATTCTGTTCTCAGTTCCATCGTTGTAAACGCATTGCCTTCAAGATGGCCATGTGATTGCCCGTAACATGAAGCTTAGTTTATGCACTATTAGTAGGTGAGTGAAATTCCCTCTGTGCTGTCCCATTCCTTTCCTGGGTAACTTAGAGCAGTGGTTCTCAAACTTTTGTCCTGGTGACCCCTTTCACACAGCAAGCCTCTGAGTGCAGCCCCCCTTATAAATTAAAAACACTTTTTTATATATTTAACACCATTATAAATGCTGGAGGCAAAGCGGGGTTTGGGGTGGAGGCTGACAGCTCGCGACCCCCCATGTAATAACCTCGCGATCCCCTAAGGGGTCCCGACCCCCAGTTTGAGAATCCCTGAGTTAGAGTGATTCCACCACACCAGAGGATAGCTTGTAAAATTACAACTGGGGTCTAGTGAACACATTAAAGATCCCATGTAGCTGCTTACCGCAAACCTTACAAGACACCGCACTCGACTATTACGCGATGATGTTTGCACCTCCTGCTGTGGAAATTGAACCCTGTTTGAACAGGGATTTGGGAACCAAGAAGTTTTTGAGTCATCATTGCAAACAAGCTGTCAGAGGCATTCCCTTCTGTGAATCAAAAATCTATCCAGTACAGCGATAAACCGTGGAGTGAAATGAAACCCTTGTTCATTAAGGTGCAGCTGACAGAGGCTTTATGCATTGGTGTAGGGCTGAAGTACGGATAGTGCATGGATAGGCAACTTTCTGGCCAGTTGCACATTAACGTAATTACTAACGTTGTCAGTGGTAAAAGAGAAAATAACAAGAACAAGAAACCTAACAAAACTCTGTACAAACGACTGGATGATTGTGGACACTTGAGCACATTATTTTATTTTTAAACTTTATTCTGGCGGTTTTGATTTTGATTTCTCAAAATGTCAGATGCTATTGGACCACGTTGAAGACCAGAGGTTTAAACTTGTTCACCTAGCGAACTACATCCTAACAACCAGGCCAGCCTAGTGTCTCTGACCCATTGCACCACCTTTGCATTGATACTTCCTAGCATGCGGGAATCCCCACCCAGCATAGAGCCAGCAGAGTTGCTTCCTGTTACTGCTTCCCTGCAGACCCTAGTGCTGGGGGAGGTGGGTGTCAGGACGGGCAAGAGGACTGGCAGAGCACAAAGTCAGCTGGCATATGGTCCTTAGGGAATAACACACTGGTGCATTTTAGAGCAGCCCCATGGCTTCTCTAAACTGGTCCAATTCAAGGGCAAAGACTCAGGCTATTGGAACAGAATAACAAGTTCCCTACTAGCCAACACACGCATACATTTTGCTTCACCCACTATTAACTGGATGTAACAGAGAAGTAGGTCCATAATCTATTGGTTACCTCCCCCCACTGACTGCCACCCCTCCTAATAAAGATCCTATTCACAATAGCACAACATCCCTGTGGGAATTACAACAATTACATTACATGCAGCTAGGCTGGCTTCTTCCTTCTTATCTTCAGCTGCTTCCCCAGGCCTCAGGGCTTTTCTTTATAATGAAGAGCATGGATGTCTGTAGAAGAAGCTAGTAACTAGGTGGGGCTAACATCATATGACCTGCTCTCTGTGGGCTACCAGAAAGTGATTCACAGACCACAGTCTGAGGAACACTGGTATAGACTACTAATCAGTTCCAAATTCAGTTCTTTAAAATGCAGCTCTGATTAATTAAATAAGCCCCACAATGCACCTCACAAACTGGGTTTTTCTTTAAATGATGGAACTCACAAGTCTGAGGTGATTTTTTTTTTTCTGATGAATTTTGCAAAAGAATCTGGCTCAGGCACGACTTCCCATGTTGCAACTCCACAGTTTAGCTCCGTGTTTGTAAGCAGAAAAACAGCAGGGTTTATAATGTAACTTTAGCACACCTTTAACTGCTAGCCATGTGTCTATTTTTGCTGCAGCAAATTGCACTAGTCTTCTACCGTTGCAGGAAAGTGAACTGCATAGTAAAATTATACTTGCTAGCGACAGCTTTTCAGGCATAGATTTCAAAGGTGGGTACATATTGTTATCCCTGTTTTTTGTAACTAAGGAAACTGAGGCACGGATAGATTAAGTGATTTGCCCAAGGTCACACAGTAGCTTGTTGGCAAACCCAGGTCTTCTGACCCACAGGCTGGTTCCCCATCCACTTGATGATGCCAATTAATTGCTTTCTCCAAATCCTTGGTCCAAATCCTCCGCTGCATCCCAGCTCTGGGTGCAACTTGTGGAAAAGACATGGGGCAAAAGGGTCTTTACATCACCTTTCTGTCCCTGATTCCATTAGTGGCCACGGACCAGTTAAAGAAGCCTCAGGGAAGTCCCTGACTTATACCCAGCAGTCTATGGCCCAAAGGGAGGGTTCAGGAAGCCTAGGGTTGCTGTGAGGTTGCTGCCCTGACCACACACACCCCACACTGGCAACTGTGAGGAAGGGTTCTCCAGTAAGTCTATGCCATCCGGAGGTTGCTGAGGAAAATCGTCCAATGGCTGTTTAAAACAGCATCATGCCTGTTTTCCTCTGCCTAAGCAGCACAAAGCAGCTGTCGAGGGGTCCACTAATGGACACCATCTAGACAATAGACTATTAATGTCAAATATTTTGTGTCTGCCTTTCTCACTCCCTGCCAATCTCCCTCTGACACAGATTTTGCTGGGACAGAAATACAACACTGCAGTTGACTGGTGGTCCTTTGGTGTCCTTCTGTATGAGATGCTGATTGGCCAGTCTCCTTTCCATGGCCAAGATGAAGAGGAGCTTTTCCAGTCCATCCGCATGGATAATCCATTCTACCCTCGCTGGCTCAATAAGGATGCAAAAGATATCCTAGTGAAGGTAAGAAGACACAGCACTTCCACTGTTACAGGTCAAATACCTTTTGCCAGATGCTAACATCTCTCTTTGATTTTTGCATCTTCTCACTGGTCTGCAGAGAAATGGGCTTAGTCCTATGGTGAGAAATAATCACATAGAATCATAGAAGATTAGGGTTGAAAGAGACCTCAGGAGGTATCTAGTCCAACCCCCTGCTCAAAGCAGGACCAACATCAACTAAATCATCCCAGCCAGCGCTTTGTCAAGCTGGGCCTTAAAAACCTCTAAGGATGGAGATTCCACCACCTCCCTAGGTAACCCATTCCAGTGCTTCACCACCCTCCCAGTGAAATCGTGTTTCCTAATATCCAACCTAGACCTCCCCCACTGCAACTTGAGACCATTACTCCTTGTTCTGTCATCTGCCACCACTGAGAACAGCCGAGCTCCATCCTCTTTGGAACCCCCCTTCAGGTAGTTGAA